CCGGGCGGGCACGCCTTGCTGTTCTTCGGCCCGGGCCTCCCGGGTGTCCCGGGCCGTCCACAGCGACACCTTCCACGTCCCGCCGGCCGGCAGGGGCGGGGGCCCGGACCCCCCAAAGGGGAGCGGGGAGAAGCTCCCAAGGAAATGCGGACAGCGTGGGAGGGGGAAGCGAGAGGGCAGACGGGAAGGGTCCGAAGGGGGCCTGTTACTGTGTGGTTGAGCCTCGGGCCACTAAGTTTAGCGATTTTCACAGCGGCCCAAACTGTTGCTTGCCCACACGAGACTTTACCGTGGAAAGTGCGCGATCGCTCGTGATCTCAGGCTTTGCCATCGCGGCTTCCTGAGGTAGAGCCCGGCACCGGGACAGGAATGAGTGGAAATGTGGAAGTTGCAAAAGTGGAGGGCGCCTTTCCAGGCCACCTGTACCTGCTCGGCGATGCGCTGGGAAGGCGCCTTCCGAGGCTGAGGGCTTCGCGGGCCGGAGAAGCGCGGCGAGGCTGGATACCTGGTCCTCACCCGCCTTCGTCTTTTGTCTGACGTTGGAGAAGTGATTCTTCGGGCCTGTCGCGGTCGGCTTCCCCTGGGAACCAGGTTCTGCCATTCTGGGGGCGGGGTGCAGCGCTCGGTGTCAGCAAACCCTCCAGGCCATTCTGATGCTGGCTGAAGTTCGAGAACCATTGCTTCATGGTGTTAAAAGGTGACCGATTCTCACCATTTTTGCCGTGGTTGAATATATGGTGGGGAAAAGTTTGAATATTTTGAAGTGCAAATTTTTTAAGAATGATGAGAAACTACAGTAGTATATCTTTTCTTACCAGTCAAGACTTGAATACGAATACTGTAATTAGAACAAAGGTGATAGGCATGGTAAACGGTCGCTTTTATTTTTACTTTTAATGTTTTAAGGTAATGGCATTGCTCCATGTGGGTACAAAGGTGAGGAGCAGCCGGGCGCGATGGCTCACGCCTGAAATCCCAGCACTTTGGGAGGCGGAGGCGAGAGGATTGAGCCCAGGGGTTCGAGACCAGCCTGGACAACTTGGCAAGATCTCGTCACTACAATAAATCAAGTAAAATTAGCCGGGCATGGTGGCGCACGCCTGTAGTTCCAGCTACTTGGAAGGCTGAGGTGGAAGGATCACCTGAACCCAGCAGGTCGAGGCTGCGGTGGCCTTGAGTGTGCTACTGCACTCCAGCCTGGGCGACAGAGTGAGACTGACTCAAAAACAAAAACAAAAACAAAAAAATCAAAGGTGAGGAGCATGTCTCCCCTTTCAGTTCTGCTGGGCATTCCAGAGACCACTTATATCTGAAATTATATGTGAATCACAGTTGCATTTGGTTAAAAAATCTGAATGCAAGGGACAAGCACCAAGAGACCAAATGAAAATGAAGTAATTCTAAAATTCTGGAAATATAGATGTTATTTTTCTCTTTCAAAATTTAAAGATTCATCATCAACATTTATGTGTCCAGGAGACATTTGGTTCTATCTGTATAGTCAGAGAAAAATACACGTTGACTACAAGCTTAAAATAGTGATTTCATCATTTCAATTTGTTGGAAAGTCTAGATTTAAACTCAGAATTTCACAGAATAAACAGTTTCATGGCTCACGCCTCTAATCCCAACTACTCAGGAGGTTGAAGTGGGAGTATCAGTTGGACCAGGAGTTGGAGACAACTTTGGGCAACATAGCAAGACCCATCACATCTCAAAAAAAAAAAAAAAAAGGAATTTTATAGATTAAATGACAACTAAAAGGAGAATCTCATTACCTGGAATATGTTATGTGGGAAGCTGAAGCTGCTTGCTCTAATTTTTTTTCAATGTTTTACTGTGAAAAATAGCCAAACGTATAGAAAATTTGAAAGAATTTTACAGTGCTTCCTCACATAAGTGCTGTCCAGTAGAACTTTTGGCAGTGATGTTTATTTCTGCTGTCTCCATTAGAGCAGCCACTAGAGTGCTGTGGCCACTCAGCTCTTAAAATGTGGCCAGTGTCAGTGAGGAATTGAGTTTTCAAACTTTTATTTAGTTTTAATTAATTAAAGTTTAGTTATGATTAATGGGTACCATACTGAACACTTCAGACCTAGACTGCCATTAACAGGTTATTTTACTTACTTTAACACAAATCTGTCCATCCATGTATCTAGTTTGATGTAGATTTAAGAAAACTGATTGAAGTTTTCTTTAAATTATCCCTATCATCTTTCAGTGATTCAGATTTATTGGATTATAAGCATTTTTCTGTTTTTATGTATGCATTTGTCAGAAGTTGAGGTCACATAAGATTGCACACAAGACTGAAGAATAACAAACGTTTTTGGCCAGCACAGTAGCTCAGGCCTGTAATCCCAGCACTTTGGGAGGTTGAGGTGGGAGGACAGATTGAAGCCAGGAGTTGGAGACCAACTTGGGCAACATAGCAAGACCCTATCTCTGCAAAAACAAAAAGTTAGCCAGGTGTGGTGGTGCATGCCTATAGTCCCAGTTACTTGGGAGGCTGAGGCAGGAGGATCATTTGAGCCCAGGAGTTCGAGGCTGTGGTAAGCTATGATTGTGCCACTGCACTCTAGCTTTGGGCGACAGAGGGAAACTCCATCTCTTAAAAAAAAAAAAAGGTTTTATAGTATATTCTTCTAATATTAAGATAACTTGGTCACCAAAGAGAGGTATTCAAAGGACATTTTCTTTTATGCATAACTATGTTTCATATATTTCCCTCAGACTTACTTATTTTAAACCAGGTATTTATTACCTTTATCTTTTGGACACCAATTGCGTCCCAGATGGGCATCCTATGAATGAAGGAATTAGAAGAATTGAAAATGGTCGGGGAGAAACTTTTCAGTGTCTCCAAGCACTTTCTATGTATACATGACCCTGGCTCACAACCCTGAACTTCCAGCTCACTCAGGTTCTCAGAAAGAGCAATAAATATGACCTAGTTCCATACTCCTGGTCTGGAGGCAGTAAGAAATGCAGTTCTTTTCTGCAATGAGACCAAAAAAACAGTTCTCTGGGAAGTACAGTCTGGTGTCAGTTAGTTGTCTTTCTCAAATCCTGTATTTTAATAGGTAAGTGATACATGGAAGTGCAGTAAATTACTGATAATATAGTATATATTCACTTCTAAAAGGCAGATGGTTTCTTAGAAGAACATCATTGAGACTTACCTATGGGCTATTAGAATAGTAGTTTACTGTTAACAGATCCTCTAGTTTGTAAAGAACATTTGACTGAAATTTGGACACAAAACGATAAAGCTATCAGTTTGATGGCTTATTGATGTTGATTTGTTTTAGAGGTACTATTGGTTCTAACCCAAGCTTAATTTAGATCAGGGTGAGAGAGGAGAAAGCCTGGGTGGTTCTGCACAGTTGCTAGCTGGAAAGCTGCTAACTAGGCTCCTAATTGGGAAATACATCAAGGTCAGCCTAAATGGACAGCGTAGGCCTCATGTGGTATGAATCCTGTTCCACAGGTTATCCCTGGAATCAGCTCAACCTCATTAATATTTCATCAGTCTTATTCTCTCATTTGTTGGAAATTATGTTTAAAGTATTGAGGATACACTGCCAATAAATATACTTGTATTTGTTTATTTTGAGACGGTCTTGCTGGCAGCGGGAGCAGATTACAGTTCAATATAGCCTTGACCTCTTGAGCTAACTTGATCCTCCCTCCTTAGCTTCCTACAGGCAGCTAGGACTACAGATGTGAGCCACCATACCTGGCTGATTTTTCAATTTTTTTGTAGAGACAGGGTCTTGCTATGTTGTCCAGACTGGTCTTGAACTCCTGGCCTCAAGTTTTCCTCCTGTCTTGGCTTCCCAAAGTGCTGGGGTTATAGACATGAGCTGCTGTGCCCAGCCTATATATTATTTTTTGATATTTATGAACATTGTTCCTTTTTTCAAAGTTAATACAATTTCAAGGAAAAAATATTTGAGAGGAGTATTGTTTTTATTCCAGGATAACAATGCCTGTGAATAAACTTAAGAAAGGATTTAATGTACAAATGGCAGATGGTAGTTCCTGTGGCCACTAGTGAATACTTCTGAAAATAGTGCTTTTTTCTCAATAGAAAGTATGCCATCAATACCCTTAACTATTTGGGTTGAGTGCTTTTGATCATAACTTGGGAGGCAATGAAACCGGAGCACTGCATATATTTTTCCAAGAGACACATTTAAGAAAGGGTCAGCTCCACGTTGTTTATAAAAGCAAAACAGTTGGAAGTAATGCAGATGTGCATGGGTAGTAGAATGAATAGTAAATCGGTAGTCAGATGGAATGTTACACAGCATGGTACAGCTAGCTAGTAAGTGATTATAGCTACAGCTAGCTACATGCATTGACAATTTCACCAAAAGAAACAAAAGGGAACACTACTTCTACACTGTTGCTGGGAGTGTAAACTACTACAGCCTCTGTGGAAAACAGTGGTGATTCCTAAAAGATCTATAAAAATCGACCTCCCATACAACCCCACAATCCCCTTACTGGGAATATACCCGGAGGAATTCAAGTCACTCTATGAAAAAGATACCTGCACACGCATGCTTATTGCAGCATTATTCTCAATATCAAAAACATGGAGCCAACCGTGCTGTCCATCAAAAGAGGACTGGATAAAAAAAAAAAATGTGGTATATATACATAATGGAATATTATGCAGCCATAAAAAGGACAAAATTATGAACTTCGCAGCAACTTGGATGGATTTAAGAGGCTATCATACTGAGTGATCTATCACAGAAGCAAAGAACCAAGTATCATACGTTCTCACTCATAAGCGGACCTTGAACAACTATTGTAATACTTTAAGAAAGGGACTGGCAGTAGTGGGAAACTGCCAGGGGAGGGTGGGAGCGGGACTGGCAGTAGTGGGAAACTGCCTGGGGGGTAGGGCACACCTCATCAACAAGGGTACCTATACAATGAACATTTGTACACCTAATCCTGAATTGTACCCCACATATTTAAAAAATATAAAATTTCAAAAAAAATTAAAAAAAGAAACAAGTTCCAGAAGAATAGATACAATACTACTCCACTTACATAAAGCTCAGAAACAGGTGAAACTAAACATGTTTAGAGAGAGATGCATGGGTAGTAAAACTATAAAGAAAAGCAGGAAATGATTAACAAGTAAGTCACTGTAGGGACTCCTTAGGAGAGGAGGGTGAATCATGTAGGGATTTCTAAGGCACAGATGATATTCTAGATTTTAACTTAGGTTGTAGGTACATGAGTGTTAATCTTATAAACTTTATTTGCACACTATATACTTGTGATATATTTCACAATTAAATGGAAAAATTATAGATTGTAAAAAATTGGAATTGTGAATGAGGGTGTAAAAAGGCTATAAAAATAAAATTGGCCTGAAAATATTTTTTTAATGCTGTTGTAAGTGAATTGTACAATAAATATAATTACAAGGAAAAGAGAAAGAGATGTGTTATTCTCAGTCTGTGAAATGCATACATGTTCGATTTATATAATATTTGTTTTGCAGGATGGCATCAGAATTAACGTAACTACCCTAAAAGATGATGGAGAAGTATCCAAGGAACAGGTTTGTCTCCTTTGATGTTTTTAATATTTCATTTAGTTAGGTGTTATGCTGCCTGTTTGAATTTTACCTACACATCTAATTTAGTTGATTTATTTTTGACATGAAGAGCTTGTTATTGTTTATAAATATTGGAATTAATGTTTATGCTGCTTTATTTTAAGGTTGTTCTTAACATAACCTATGAGAGTGGACAGGTATATGTAAATGGCTTCCCTGTAAATAGTGGTGTAACACGAATAAGCTGTCAGACTTTGATAGGTGAGTACTACTAAATTATTTCAAACATAATTGTTCTGTTTTTAATAATACCAAATTAGTAAAACAATTCTTGGATGTTATATATTTCCATTTTAAAGTAAAATTTGTGTCATTAAGGCAGTAGGATTGCCTGAGCCTAGGAATTCAAGGCTGCAGTGAGTTATAATTGCGCTACTACTCTCCAGCCTGGGACTTAGAACTGTTTCTAAAAATATATAGAAAAAAATTATATACACACACACACACACATATATATACATACACATACACAGTTAAGTCCCCTACATATAAACAAGTTCTATTCCCAGAGCATGTTTGTAGATCCAATTTGTTCGTAAGTCCAATGAAGTTATTCTAGGTACCCCACTAACTTAATCGACTATACAGTACCATTTACATCACCACTGTTTTTAAGCTTGTCTCCAGTCAGCCTGGGCTTGAAATAAAGATTCTGTACTACTGTACTCTGTACAGTAGTATACAGTAAAGTACACAAAAGCACAAACACTTGTAGAAGATATATGCCAGACACATGAACTAACTTATTGTGATTGGACATGTATTCACATCTTTGAAAGTTTGCAATTTGAAGGCTTGTAAGTAGGGGACTGTATACATCATTTTCAGAGTGTATCATAACACTAATATGTTTAAAATGCTATTCTTATTTTATATTGGCTACACTTGGCATATTCACTTATTTTCTTTCATGAGGACAGTATTGATAGAAGTGTATTTCTGGTAGGTTGACATCAACATAAGAATGTGCAGAGAGGTAATATGTGGGTTGGCAAGAGCCAGCACCCTGGAGAGGTGCTTACCATAATTGTGAAAAACAAAGAGAAAATGAATTGTCTGATTGTTTAGTTTTCAGCTTCTTCTACATAAACATTTTTCTTTTTCTTTTTTTTCTTATTTCTCTGAGAGAAAAATTTTTTTTCATTTTAACCTTTTAAGATTTTGAGTTGGCCGGGCTTAGTGGCTCAGCCTGTAATCCCAGTACTTTGGGAGGCCAAGGCGGGTGGATTGCCTGAGCCCATGGGTTCGAGACCAGCCCAGGCAACTTGACGAGACCTACAATAAACAATCAAAAATTAGCCAGGTACAGTAGCATGTGCCTGTAGTTCCGGCTGTTTGGAAGGCTGAGGCGGAAGGATCACCGGAGCCTAGTAGGTCGACGCTGGGGTGGTCAATCACATGTTCAATCACAATAAGTTAGTTCATGTGTCTGGCGTACACGAGTGTGCCACTGCACCCCAGCCTGGGTGATGGAGTGAGACTCCAACTACCAAAAAAAAGATTTTGAGTTGTTTAAAGACAAGCAGATATCTTACATTGGAATATACCATATTATTTGAATGAAATAGCAAATGGGAGGAATATATGGAATTTTTTTATTACCTATATTTTAAGGCAGTACATTTTCTCTAAGTACTTGTATACTTGATTTGTTATATATTTTTAATTATAATTTGGAAAAATGTTGTTTAATTATCGATTTTGCTATTTCCTTTTCTAAATGGTCATTTAGAAGTATATTACTTAATTTCCGAATATTTGGGATTTTTTATAGATTCTAGGAATATTGTCAGAGATAAAACTGCCTTTGAAATTAGACTTGATTTATGGCTTAGCATATGGTCAGTTTTAATCAATATCCCTTTCCATGTGTACTTGAAAATAAATTATGCAATTTGTTGGATATGATGTATGCTGTGGAGCTCCTGATTTGTGTTGTTTGTTTGCTCTGTCAGTTACTGAGAATTTGTTTGTTCTCCTTTCATTTTCTGCTTCGTATGTTTTGACACAACAGTATTGAATGCATACAGACTTAAAATTGTTACGTATTCCTGGCACGGTGACTCTTTTAGCTTTATAGTATGTCCCTCTTTGCCCCTATTCATGCTTGTGGTGTGGTATGGCTTCCATTTTCTTTCAGTCTTTTTGGGTCCTTGTATGTACAGTGAGTATCTTATAAGCACCATATATTTGTTGTTGCTTTTAAATTCATTCTGGGCCGGGCTTGGTGGCTCAGCCTGTAATCCTGCGCTTTGGGAAGCCGAGGTGAGTGAATTGCCTGAGCCCACGGGTTCGAGACCTGCCTGGGCAACTTGGCGAGACCTCATCTCTACAATAAATTAAAAAAAAACTAGCCAGGCGTGGTAGCACATGCCTGTAGTTCCAGCTACGTGGAAGGCTGAGGAGGAAGGATCGCCGGAGTCCAGCAGGTTGAGGCTGCCGTGGCTGGGAGCGGCCACTGCACTCCAGTCTGGGCGACAGAGTGAGACTCCAACTCAAAAAATAAGTAAATAAATACGTAAATTCATTCTGTGTCTTACAATTGGGATTTTGATTTATTTACATTTTTAAAATTGCTGATATGCTGGATTTAAATCCTCTTCCTTAATTGTTTCTCTTTGTCCCACTTGTTCTGTTTCTGTTCTTCCCCTTTTTGCTTTCTTGGTACCTAATTAACTTTGGTTTCATAGTTCCCCTCTGTCTTGTTGGTTTTACATAATTTTACTGTTCATTTAGTTGTGACCCTTGATATCAATACATTCATACTTTTATTCACTCAAACTGCAAGAATTTTAGAACACTTAAATTCCATTTATTCCCTTTTTGCCTTTGGGTTTATTATCACATATATATTTAAATCTTTTAAAAATTTATTTATTTATTTATTTATTTAGAGATAGGGTCTCACTCTGCTGCCCAGGTTGGAGCGTAGTGGCACAATCCCAGCTCACTGCAACCTCAACTTCCTGGGCTCAGGTGATCCTCCCACCTCAGCCTTCAGTTGCTTGAGCCAGGAGCTCAAGACCAGCCTAGGCAACATAGCAAGACCTTGCCTCTACAAAATAAAAAATAAAAAAATTAGCCAAGCATGGTGGCATGTGTCTGTAAGTCCCAGCTACTTGGAAGGTTGAAGCAGAAGGATTACCTGAGCCTTGGAGGTCGAGGCTGTGGTGAGCTGTTATCATACCACTGCACTCCAGCCTGGATGACAAAGTGAGAGCTCCGACTCAAACAAAGAAACAAACAAACAATAATTCTTTTGGTGGTATATTCCCTGGGAATTAGACTTGGAATGCATCTTAGCTGCTCCATTTATTATGGCAATCTTTCTAGTCATCTCAGCTGTTGCATTGAATTTGTTTCTTTGATAGCTGAAGTAAACGCTCATCTTATCCAATTATAACAATTGGATCTTCAAAACATTCAATGCAGCAACAACAAATCTTTAATTCTTTAAAGCATTTTTTTCTTTAGTATCATGTTTGTTATTTATTGCTACGTAACAATTTAACCCAAAAGCCAGTGGCCTAGGACAGTATTTCTTATTTCGTAGTTTCTGTAGATCAAGAATCTGAGCTTGTCCTAGTTGGGTCCTCTGGCTCTCACAAGGCTACCGTCATGTCAAGGCTCAAATGGGAAGGGTTTGCTTCCCTAGATAATTCATGTGGTTGTTGGCAGGATCCGGTTCCTTCTGAAGTGTTGAATGGAGGCCTCAGTTCCTCACCAGATATGGGCTTGGGACCTCCCTCCGTTCCTTGCCACATGAACGTCTCTGTAGAGCATCTCACAGCATGGCAGCTGTTTTCATCATCAAGATGACAAGAGAGTCTGCCAGCAAGAATGAGTACGAACAAGACAGAAGTCACAGTCTTTTATCATCTAAGCACGGAAGTGACATTCCATCACTTGTGCTATGCTCTGTTAGAAAGTAGTCACTAGACCCAATATAGTGTCTTGCGAGACGTTTGTAATCCCAGCTACTCAGGAGGCTGGTAGGATTGCTTAAGGCTAGGAGTTCAAGACCATCTGGGCAATATAGTGAGACTCTGTCTCTTAAAAACTAAAATAAAAAGTAAAAACAAAAACAAGTCACTAAGTCCAGCCCATATTCAGGGAGAGGGAGTTAAACAATGATATGAATATTTGGTGGCAAGGATCATTGAGGACTATTTTAAAAGCTGACTAACACAGTAAGGAAGTCAGAATATGAGGGGCTTTGTTGTTTATGTTTTATTCTATAGTAGAGGTACCAAGTTTGCGAACTGAAGATCCACTGCTTTGGATAATTTTTATGATTGTACTTTCTCACCCATTGAGTCCCAGAGCCCTCATCTTTGGGCATACAGACATGCTGACAAGACACCCTCTGTTCTGTGAGAGAGACCAGTGGTCAACTGAAATGCAGAGATGGACCATGAGAGGGCATGTTCGGCAGTGGTGAGCTTTGAATGGTATGGGAGGTTAGGCACACAACAGAGAGGAGCAGCAAGTACCCAGATGAGGAGCCCGAAGGAGTTCCCAGTCAGAGAACTACCAGGATACTCACAGGGATGCCCCTGAAGGTGTTTGAGCAAGAGGCTGTGATATTAAAACTCTGTCATAGTGAGATTAGTCGGACACTGTTGTGTGAATGGTTTGGAGGGGAAGGGACTCAGGAGGGGAGATTGGCCAGGTAGATGATATATAGTAAGTGGTTCATGAATTAGATATTGGGATGTTCTAGAGAATAGACCTGAGCACAGAGTCTGTTTAAACAGACTGTACATCTGGGTTCCTATTTGGCAAATAATCCTGATTATTTGAGGGACAGAAACTAAATGCTCTGTTTGTGTCAGTTTCACTGGTGTGTGTTGCCTTGTCTTTTTCTTCTTCTTTATTTTTTTGAGTCAGAGTCTCACTGTGTCACCCAGGCTAGAGTGCAGTGGCACGCTTACGGCCACTGCAGCCTTGACCTGTTGGGCTCAAGCTATCCTTTCACTTCAGCCTTCCAAATAGCTGGAACTACAGGTATGTGCTACCATACCCGGCTAATTTTTTGATTTACTGTAGAGACAAGGTCTCTCTAAGTTGCCCAGGTTGGTCTGGAACCCCTGGTATCAGGCAGTCCTCTTGCCTTGACCTCCCACGATGCTAGGATTATAGGCTTGAGCCACCTTGCTTTCTGCCATAATAGAACAGCCATTGGCTCATAAGCCAGCTGCAGTTACTACACCCATCTCCATGGGGGGGCGGGGTGCCCTAAGCTGGAGAAGAACATGGCCGGACGTGCATCCTACCCAGTCATCCATTAGTAGGGCAGCTGCAACTTTTCCCACCTTCTTTTCCCATTCTTGCCCTCTCCAACACTAAAATGTCACCTTTTGGGGGAAAGGATTGAGAACAAAACTCAGTGTTCTTACTGCCTCTGTCACAGTAGTTTGTGGATGAATGCATGTGCTTATATTGTAAAACATGGGCTTGATTGTGTCATCTGGCTGTGTCTGCTTTATAAATCGTTGTGCCATGCTGGGTCCTCATTGTCAATCTGTGTAAAAGAATAGGACAAATGTTGCTCATGTGGTATGTCATGCAAAAATACAAAGATCAATGCATTTTAACCTTTCAAATGAGTGTAAGTAGTCATAAGAATTTGTCAAGTTGTTTTCATTTTTGTGAGTCTGAAATGGCATTGAATCAGGATTGAAGAAAGCCAAAGAAATTGGCTTACAGCTGTCTTGTTCCATATAAACGTCATCAAAATAGTCAAACTCAGTAACAGATTTGGTGGTAATTTGTGTTCAATGCTTTTCACTACTTTCTTTTTATAGTGAAGAATGAAAGTCTGGAAAATTTGGAGGAGAAAGAATATTTTGGAATTGTCAGTGTAAGGATTTTAGTTCATGAGTGGCCTATGGCATCTGGTTCCAGTTTGCAACTAATTGTCATTCAAGAAGAGGTAGTAGAGATTGATGGAAAACAAGTAAGATAGTATGCTTATTAATTGGGAATTAAATTATAAGGATTTAAATTTGTGCTAGGTGTTATGCATGTGCTCACTTTGTTTTTGACTAGATAAGAAGTTACTCTGTTGCTATGTATCCAACCATTAAAAATTTTTGTATACTAATTTTAGCATTTGAAGTGTATTTTTTTTTTTGAGTTGAAGTCGCTCAGGCTGGAGTGCAGTGGCACACTCATAACTACCCCAGTATTGACCTGTTGGGCTTCGGTGATCCTTCCGCCTCAGCCTTCCAAGTAGCAGGAACTACAGAAGCACGCTACTATGCCTGGCTATTTTATTTTATTTTATTGTAGAGACGAAGTCTCACCAAGTTGCCCGGGCTGGTCTCGAACCCGCAGGCTCAGGAAATCCACTCCCTTCAGCCTCCCAAAGTGTTGGGACTACAGGAGGAGCCACTGAACCTAGCCTTCAAGTATATTTTTAAAAAATGTTCTTGGTTGGGTACATTGGCTCATGCCTGTAATCTCAGCATTTTGAAAGGCTGAGGCAGGAAGACTGCTTGAGGCCAGGAGTTTAAGACAAACCTAGGCAACATAGCAAGACCCTGTCTCTACAAAAAATCAAAAAAATTAGCCAGGCATGGTGGTGTGCGCCTCTCGTCCCAGCTACTTGGGAGGCTGAGGTGGAAGGATCACCTGAGGCCAGGTGGTTAAGGCTACGGTGAGCCGCGATTGTGCCACTGCACTCCAGCCTGGGTGACAGAGTGAGACCCTGACTCAAAAAAAAACAAAATCATATTCATATATGCTTATATCACTTTAAATTGTTGTGAACATTATTAAACAGAAAGTCAATGAAGAGGCTGATTTGGTTCATCGTTCTGCTCCCGTTTCCTCCAAGTCCCTCTGTGTAAATGAAATGGAACTGAGATTAAACTTTTAAAAATGAGTGCTAAAGCAGACAGGAATATTATTAAAGTTGCAATTAGTGCCCCTAAGTGGGAGTAGTGGGAGGGAATAGAGAGTAGTTATCTGAATAGGACAAGTCCTTTCAGTTATAAAAATCGGGGAGGAAAATTCACTTTTAGGTTCTTATGGGGCTGTGCCATTATTTAAAATAAAACGTAATCCCTTATTTTTTCTTTTATAGGCTCAACAACAGGAAGTCACTGAAATTGACATTTTAGTTAAGAACCAGGGAATACTCAGACATTCGAACTACACTCTTCCTTTGGAAGAAAGCATGCTGTACTCTATTTCCCGAGACAGTGACATTTTAGTTACCCTGCCAAACCTCTCCAAAAAAGGTAATTTAAAAGACCATGTATTTCCTTATGATACATTTATATACTCTTGAACTTTGTAATTTTTACATTATCTGCAATAGTTACTATATAGCTTTAATTATAGATAATATGTTTGAGCTTCTTTCAAAAATGCTTTATAACTTATATTACTTTATATGTCCATTTAAGGACTTTAGGAATCTATTTTCAACCTGAGTAGAATGTGATCAATGCTAGTTTCATAGTGACATTTTTCAGTATTCACTCTTACTGTGGGTACTCATCACAAAATATATAATAAGAATATGATGAAGGTTCATTTAGAGGGAAAACGACTCCATTTTCACTGAAACATAGAACTGTTTAAATTTTGGCTTTCTGTGTAACAAAATCATAACTGCTTTAGCCCCTTGTAACTGTCTTAGTTTATATTTCCCTTCTGGCACTTGAATAGGTAAACATCAAATATGATTTTTTTCTCCCATGGTAAAATATATGTTCGTACTACCCTAAATGTTACTGGACTAGCAGGAGAGATACCAGCATGCCCCTGGTAACTTTGGTAACTTTGCTTTTTCTTCTTAGTAGAAAGTGTTAGTTCATTGCAGACCACCAGCCAGTACCTTATCAGGAATGTGGAAACCACTGTAGATGAAGATGCTTTGCCTGGCAAATTACCCGAAACCCCCCTCAGAGCAGAGCCTCCATCTTCTTATAAGGTAAATCAAGTATTTGGTGTTAGCAGGAGCATTGATGGTTGTGATAAAGAACATAGATCCTGGCAATTAAGATGAGGCGGGAACCATGAAAACCAGAACCATGGAGCATTGGTGATAGTGATATGCTCAGCTATTCTTATTTTCTTCTTCAAGTTTCATTTAATAATATAGTCAGATCACGATTATCAAGGCACTGGATTTTGTTTGGTTGGAGTTTCAGGTTCCAGAATTCTTTCTCATATCCCCATTCCTCTGTATCCTGCAACTCCTACCTTGCGTACACACACATGCATTGTGCCCTCAGAATCTTGTTCAGTAACTAAGCACAGTGGTTGAGAGAACACGTTCTGGAGTCAGACTGCCTAGGCTTGAAACTTGGTTCTGCTGCTTACTAGTTGTGTGATCGCGGACACATTGTTAATTTCTCTAACCTCAGTTTATTTGTATCGTGGGGCAACCACTTGGTTTGTAAATTAGTTATCTCATGAAATTGTTCTAAGGATTCAACCAGATGGGTACTACATATAAATATGCACTGGCACCTATGAAGTTCTCATGTACTACTCATGACTTCTGTACTGCTCTCCAGGAGGACAGATATACGTTCAGATTGAGTATCCTGATCTCTATATATATTAGCTAGGCCCCTATCCAAAATAATTTCCATTTAAATGAGCAGGGCCTATGGTTAATCTCAAAGTAGAAGGCCACTGAAGGTTGGGATTGCTTTGTTGGAGTCACTGTGGTGGTCTGGGTTGTGGCACCCTCCTCCTGCCCACCCCGACTCCTCAGCAGGTTGCCTCAAAGCAGACTGTCTTCATAGCCCATGCCGCCAGTGTCCACCCTAGGCTCTTTATTTGCTCTTCAAGTATAGAAATATGTTTTGTACATAATGTACTTCGCATCTGTTCTAAAAGCTACTGTTTTTTTTGTCTTTTCTTTCCTTCTCCTGTCCTTAGTTACTGGCAACAGATAGTTGGCTCTGGTTCATTTTGTTTATAGTGAACTATAGCTAACTAATCTCCTGTCAATTAGAAATTTTCACTTGATTTGTAGTTAGACAACAACATAAATAATTTTAAAAGATATTAGCATTTCTGTGCCTGCATTGTTAGAAAATAATTTTTATTTATTTAGTTTTTTAGAGATGGAGTCTCACTCTTATATGATCATAGCTTACTGCAGTCTTGAACCCCTGGGCTCAGACAGTTCTCCCACCTCAGCCTGGCTAATTTTTAAATTTTTGTAGAGACAGAGTCTCGCTATGTTGTTGAGGCTGGTCTTGAACTCCTGGCCTCAAGTGATCCTCCTGCATCGGCCTGTCAAATGAGCCACTGCGCCTAGCCAGAACATAATTTTTAAAATTGTAAAATTGTAAAATGTGTATTGAGGCACATTTTAAAATAAAATGCACCTGTTTTAAATATACAGTTAGTTTTGACCAATGTTAACACCTATGTAACCACCACCATCACCACCACCACTGTTTTAGCTTTGGGGTGGATATCTTTGTTACCCCAAAGCTAAAACATTAAAAAATTTAAAGTTTATCCTTAGAACTCAATGAAATGTGCATATCTAATCAAAACTCCTTTTTTAGGTAATGTGTCAATGGATGGAAAAGTTTAGAAAAGATCTGTGTAAGTTCTGGAGCAGTGTTTCCCCAGTGTTCTTCATGTTTTTGAATGTGATGGTGGTTGGAATTGTAGGAGCGACTGTGGTGATAACCATCTTAAAGATGCTGTTCCCAGTTTCTGAATACAAGTAAGTATTTCTTATTTCTGAAATGTTAATGTTTTTGATGATTAAAAAGTGAGATATTAACTATAGAGTGGAAAATATAAAAACTAGCGAGGGTAAGACAAGTGGGAGGGAAAAACAGTGCCTGCTTTTATTTTATCCCGTTCCAACTTTAGCAATATTGAAACACATTTATTGAATGCCTGTTTTGATCAAGGTACTCTTTAAAAATATTCAAGTGTGCAGCCTGGGTGACAGTGAGACTCAAACTCAAAAAAAAAAAAAAAAAAGGCCAGGCACAGTGGCTCATGCCTGTAAACCCTGCTCTTTGGGTGGCCGAGGCAAGAGGATTGCCTGAACTCAGGGGTTTGGGACCAGTGTGGGCAACTTGGTGAAACCTCATCTCTACAATAAATAAAAAAAATAGGTTGGGTGTGGTAGAGCACACCTGTAGTTCCAGCTACTTGGAAGGCTGAGGTGGAAGGATCACCTGAGCCCAGCAGGTCGAGGCTGCAGTGGCCGTGAGCTTGCCACTGCACTCTAGCCTGGGCAACAGAGTGAGACTCCAACTCAAAAAAAAAAAAAAAGAAAGAAAAGTGTGAATAAGACAAACTGTGCTCTATAAGAACTTAAAGTCTAGTAGGGAGAGAAAGGAAACAAAAATATGTAATGGGAAGTGCAATGTGTATGATCAGAGATGAATAAAACAAGGACTTCACTATGTATTTTCAACCCCAAAGTATCAGTTTAAAATGTAATTAATTTCAGAAGACTAGCAGGATATTAATTGCAGCATTGTTTGTAACAGAAAACAAAACAAAATAAGAACCTTCTTAACTCTTTATCAGTGAGGGCTTGACTAACTAATTGCACGTACGTGCAATGGGATTCTCTGGCTGAAGAGTTCCAAAGTCTATCCAGTTGCAAACAAATACTATCACGTTTGGGTAAAACAAAATATTGTATGTACTACATGTATATAAATGCATAGAAAATTTCCAGAATGAGAAAATAAATTACATGTAATGAGTGGGAATGAGGTCAGAGTGGAGAGACTGATGTTTACTTCCTTTTATATTTAATTTTTTTAATCAAATAAATTATTTTATAGTAAATTTTAAAGTAAATTATTAGCATTTTCACAAGTTAAACAATTAGTCATTTTAGCCTCTTCATAGAAACAAATCTCAATGGAAACGACCATGGTTTCTGCTTAGTGATATTACATTGACTATGCTGTATCACAGGATTTACAGGAAAAGCCTGATTTGAACATCCACTTTTCCACTTGCTTGTTACGAGGTCTTTGAAACTCCCCTTTCTTCAGGAGTACAATGAACTAATGTTTTCCTATACGGATTGTTATAGAGCAAAGTCAATGTAAGCGAAGCACCTGCAGAGTGAAGAAATGTTAGTGCCCCTCCCATCTTTTTAGTTTGCATCTTCCCTGAAGAATTGGCATTCCCATTATTTTTCTGATACTGTCCCTTATCTGAAATACTTAGCAGGGGATTGAAAGTGTACTGATTTTGGAATATTTTGCATTATACTTACTGGTTGAGCATCCCTAATCTGAAATCAGAAATGCTCCAGTGAGCATTTCCTTTGGGTATCATGCTAGCACTCAAAAAGTTTTGGATTTTGGAGCGTTTTGGATTTTAGATTGAGATTAGGTATGCTCAACCTTTAGTGACATTCTGTAATTTAACAGTTTTTTCCTATTCCCTTTGGCTACCAGGAAGCTCAGAACTTTTAAACCTTACTATGCATGCCTTGCATAGAAAACGTTATTGTAATTTGTTTTTTATTTTTGAGTTGGGGGGTCTCACTCTGTCAACCAGGCTGCCAGGCTGGAGTGCAGTGACATGATCACAGCTCACTGCAACCTCAAAATCCTGGGCTCAAGCCATCCTCCTGCCTCACCCTTCTGAGTAGGTGGGACTACAGGTGTGTACCACCATGCCCAGCTAATTTTTTTCTTTTTGATTTTTTGTAGGTACAGGGTCTTGCTATATTGCCTACGCTGGTGTCAAACTCCTGGGCTCAGTATTCCTCCTGCCTAGGCCTCCCAAAGTCTGGGATTACAGGCATGAGCCACTGAGTCCGCCTTGTTTTTTTCCCCATTGTGTTGTTATGGGCTCCTCAGCAGGAAAAGATTCAATGAAAAATCAAAAACCAAATTAGCAATGTACTTTTTAAAATATATTTTATTTTAAAGATGTGGGGCACGATTCAGGATTAGGTATACAATTGGACATCGTACAGGTAAAGTTTGGGCCTCCCTTTAGTCCCCACTTGCAGCATTCTTTATCATGGTGATTGTACTGAGGATACTTGTTGGCAGAAAAATATGTAGTCAGTATAGACCTGTAGAGAGCAAGGAACTGGAAGTATCCTTTCATTTCTCTGTTCTTTCTTATTCTTCTACTTAGAGGTAGTCATTGTCAGCTGTTTGGATTGGCGCTTTTCATCTAATTTCTATGTACTGATGTAAATGTATGCTAGTTATAATTGTTTATCAACTCAGACTCTTAATTGTTCTGCAAATTGCATTTTTCACTTAGGACAGAGGTTGCCAAACTTTGTAGGTTTACAGAATCCTTAGTGTGCCAATAATTTTTTTTATGCTCCACTTAGGCCAAAAGAAAGATTTAAAGAAGAAAAATAATTTTATTTCGTTCTTAAATTACTACATTACGAGATTGCATGGGATGTTTGTGCCTAAAGGGCACTACCAGTACCTCATATATTGGAACCAGATTAGATACGCACCCTCGTTTCCTGTTCAACATTAGTTTTTAAACAGTATTTGCTTTCTACCATGTTAACTACCTGTCCTAGTTCGTTTTGCATTGCTATAAAGGAATACCTGAGAGTGGGTAATTTATAAAAAGATGTCCATTGAGCTCATCGTTCCGCAGGCTGTCCAGGAAGCCTGGTGCCAGCATCTGCTTGGTTTCTAGGGAGGGCCTCAGGCTGCTTCCACTCATGGGGAAGGCAAATGGAGCTAGTGTGTGCAGAGAGAGAAAATGAGAGAGAGGAAGGGAGGTGCCGGCCTCTCTTTATATTAATAACCAGTTCATGTAGGAATAGAGTAAGAGAACTCAGGCACCAACTCTTCAAGGAGGGCATTAATCTGTTCCTGAGGGATCCGCTCCCATGACCCCAACACCTCCCATTAGACCCCACCCCCAACATTGGGGATCAAATTTCAACATGAGGTTTGGAAAGGACAAAACTTCCAAATTATAGCTCCACCAGCAACTCTGCTTTGGAAAGGCGACTTCATTGAATGTTTTGCAATCTAAAGTCAAAACCATGAACTACCCTCAAGCTAATATTACACATGAAGTCTCTTGAAAATTTTCTGTGGTACATCTGTTTGCTGTGCCAACCCAGGGGCCTCAGTGCAGTTTGGGAACCACAGACTTAAGATCTTTTCCTATCAATATATATATAAGCGTATTCTTTTTTGTCCCCCATAGTTAGCTTTATTTTGAATTTTATGTATTATTATTAGTAGAGACAAGAGTTTTTCTATGTTGCTCAGGCTGGTCTCAAGCTCCTGTGCTCAAGTGATTCTCTCACTTTGGCTTCCTAAAGTGCTGGGATTGAGGCGTGAGCCAACTGTGTCCTGCTGTCTACTTTTCTTTCTTTTTTTTTTTGAGTCAGAGTGTTACTCTGTTGCCCAGGCTAGAGTGCAGTGCCACTTTCATGGCTTACTGTAGCCTTGATCTCCTGGGCTCAGGAGATCCTACCACCTCAGCTTCCTGAGTAGCTGGGATTATAGGCACATGCCACCACACTTGACACATTTTTAATTTTTCAATTGTATTGCCTTTTGTAATAATCATATAGGAGCTCCTTCATCTGTTATATAATGTATATTGTAGATTTCTTAATTTTTACCATCTGCCTTTTGCTCTTGTTTATGGTATAGCATACAAAAGCTTTAGATTTGGAGTCTAAGCAATTTATGTTATTCCTCTGGTTTCTAGGGGTTTTTTCCCCCTTAAGTAGGCCAACCTTTTGCATTTGAAAGTCATATGTTTTCTTAAAACTTTCTTTTTACCTTCACTTTTGTATATACTTTGCTAGAGTTATGATTTTATTTCCCAGATAGAGGCCATTGTTCCATTAGTAATTTCCCATTGATTTAGAATGTTACCTTATTATAAATTAAATCTGTATGGAAATCTGTTTCTGAATTCTTCTGCTCTGATGATCTCCTTGTCTATTCCTATGCCACTAGCATAGTTTTAGTTACTATAATGTTCTAATAAAAACTTTGATAGCGTGTTAGGGCAACTCTCTCTTCTTCCATTTTTCTTTTGAAAAATTCTTATGGCTATTCTTGCAGTTTCTTCCTGTGAACTTTAGAATCAGTTTGCTTGGTTCTATAAACAACTAACCTCTGTTGATATTCTGATTGGGATAACACTGAATTTACAGTACAGAGTTTTGGATGCAATCCATAGACCAACTCTCTGGTCAGGGATTTTAAGTAACAAAAAACTACTGTCTAAAGCCCTAAGGTTGTGTTTCAGTGATATTTTTTAGAAAGCAGCATGGGCTTAGTCTTTTTTGCTCAACCAGAGTATATCTGGGGACCTAACTCTCTACCTTGAAGATCTATACTTACCCCAGCCTTTGCTTCCCTATAGTACTAAGTAATGAACTTCCTCTGTACCTTTCTATTCCCTCATTTTGGTAAAGGTAACTGTGGGCTCAGAGTTTGTACAGCCATTATAAACTATTACATAGATTGAAGCAAAAGCACCTAACCTTAGGTATGTAATTATAACTTTGAAGAAGCCTTATCTTACCACCAAACTATAGGCAGAGGAAATATCTAATTTTGATAGTAATTAATCATTTTATATTTCAGAGGAATTCTTGAGTTGGATGAAGTGAATGTTCTACCTGTGACAGCTATCAACTTATATCCAGATGGTCCTGAGAAAACAGCTGACAACCTTGAAGATAAAACATGTATTTAAAATGCCATCTCAAATCATGGACTCTGAATTAGTCTCGACTCCAAATTTGCTACTTGAATATAATTTTCTTCAGATCATTAAGAATCAGTTTATACACTAGAGAAATTGACTCCCAAGACTGCCTGAAAATTGACCTTTACAGTGCCAAGTTAACATTCACCTTGTTCTCTAAAAAGGGCTGGCTTTTCAGATGAAGAATAGTTAAGGAAAATTTAAACAAAGTGGAAGAGAAGACATAGGAAGAAACTTTTGACATTACCAAAAAAAAAAGAAAGGCAAGACAAAACGTTATGTGCCAATAACTTTTCAAGGTGCCTTTGTTAAGGAAATTATATCCACTTAATTACTATAATATATAAGACTTTATGAAAAGCACTTTATAAAATTCTAATTTAAAAGCTCAAGAACTTAATAACACTTATTTTTTTATACAGTACAATGTGCCTTTATATTAAGTATGTGACTCAGTATAAAATCACTAAAGTATATAATGATTTGATTGTATCCTGTACCAAGACTACTCACCTTGAATGCACCAGGTTTTAAAAGTTGTAGTGACATGTTCTCACTCTAAAATAAACTTTTTGAGGAAAAAAGTATAGCTGGTTTGGTTACAATTGTATAAAAACTTGGCCCCAGTGAGAATTACCTGTATACAGGTGTAAGTATAGATCCTTTCACTTACATTGGCTGAAACCAAGTCTCAGTTAATGATTTCCTTCAGGATCATGGAGTTAGAGTGTACCTTTGGTCTTGTGGTTCTAAGGATGGTGCTATTTACGCTACAAGTGTTTTTATCTTACCTTTTTAAACCATTACTCATATTGACATATTTTACAATGTGACCTAGGACATATAACTTATTACAGGTAATACTTTCTATTGTTTCATTAAAAAATATTTTTGATTGCAACCCATCATTTTAAAAATGTTGCTGCTGGGCACATTGGCTCACACCTGTAATCCCAGCACTTTGGGAGGCTGAGGTGAGAGAATTGCTTGAGCCCAGGAGTTCAAGACCAGTCTGGCCAACATAAGGAGAACCTGTCTTTACAAAAATTAAAAAAAAAATTAGCTAGGCATGGTGGTGTGCACTTGTAGTCCCAGCTACTTGGGAGGCTGAGGTGGAAGGATGGATTGAGCCCAGGAGGTTGAGGCTGTAGTGAGCCGTGATCATGCCACTGCACTCCACAGTCTGGGCAACAGAGTGAGACTATGACTAAGAAAAAATAAAAAACAGTGTCCAAAAAAGTCATGATTGGTTTTTTAAATTACTTTATATTTAGGCTAAATAGATGTGTATGTGTGTGTGTGGGGGGGGGATGATGTAGTAGAATGAAGGAATGATGTTTTGTTTTAGTATTTAGTAGGCGTTAAGCTGTCTTTAGTATTACGTCTCACAGAAGCCTATTATTCCTACCTCCTTATTGCCGAAAACTAATAGCATGCAATTTATAATTGCACTAGCTAGTAACACTTTATTTCTGTATGCCCATTCTCATTAAGTTGTTAGAAATACCAGTTTTAACTCCAAACGATGACATGGTCTTGTTTCGTCCATTAACCATAAGCTTACAGGTTCTGGTGAGGAAACAACTTTAGGAGTTTACATGGTATCGTGGAGGGCATAGGCTATGCAGTTAGCAGATTCCTATCCCAACTTCTGTCCTTCCTATTGAGACTTGGGCCCATAGCAAGGCATGCAATCTCCCGACACTGTTTTCTTTTCGGTGGTTGTTATGCTACAATACGTCATTTTCTTATACATAATCCTAAAAGGAAATCCTAACTAAAGTTTGGTAGCATTAACATTTATTTATACCATTAGCTATTTCTTTAGCTATGCTTTGTACGCATGAGTTCATGAATTAGATTACAGTACAATAAGCAGCAAAAGCCTAGAACTACCTACTTGCCTATAATGCAGCCTCTTATGTAGGCAGAATAAAAGTTAGCCAAGACTGTTTTTTTCCTTCATAAATGTATAGTAAAATGAAGAATCTTTAAAACTCTCCCAGGAAGGGAAGCTGTCATAACACCAGGTGGGAAGGAAGGCATATTTGGCCTGGCTCATGCTTTAATTAGCTACTTGTGTGAAAATGCCCAGGGATTTTCAGTTATCTGAAAATTAGGCATTAAGGAGTCAGAGCTAATCTTATTCTCCTCCCTAGAAGGAATAACAGTACCAGACAGTGGGGAATAAAAGGCTGCACTTAGAAGTGCATTATGAAGACAGCTTTTCTAGGCCCCGCAACAGGACAGTGGTGGTTTGCTGTTGTAGCTGTTGGTTTCAAACAGGAGCAAAGAATGACGACTTCCTTGTGGTCTGTTGGCTATTCAGTATCCCAGTGCAAATGGCCAATTCAGTTGGAAGAAACATGTCTTAAAAAAAATAGGAAAAGGAAAAAAGACAGTATTCCAAGCCAAGTAACATGTAACATTTGTGATCAGTGAAACAGAAAACTGTAATGCTAAAGTAAAACAAAATTTCAGCTTAAAAATATTGGCTTTATTCAGAATCACAAGGGTTTTAAAAAATCTTACCATTATGAAAGTTTAAAAAAATATAGCACTCAGTGCAATGAATTACTACATTTAATTACTATTCAAACACTTAAGGCTGATTCCTCACAGTTTACATGTGAGAATTTAGCATGATCCAAACTCAAATATCCATTTCTCATATCTTTCAATGTCTGCAGCAGATACTGACTTAGAAACCTTTTTTAAAGCCATTTCGAAATCCTCCATAGTTGTAGGCATGTGCATTTCTTCTTTTGAAAGATTTCGGATTTCTTCTGGGGTCAAACCTTCAATACGCCTTCTCATTGCCATCAAGGAGGCGTCCCTAGGTTTTAAGTTAAAAAAAAAACCACCACAAAGTGTTATTTTCATTGAATGAAAACCTGTGTATAGAAAAATTATTCAATGCATCTGTGGTAGCATTTCCAAGTCATGATCTAAATTACATATGAGGGAGGGACCCCCCCAAAACCTGGAATTATCTTTTGGAGAGCGGGACCCTTGTAGTATAGGTGTCTCTTGCTAGGAAAGTGTTCTAGGAACCCATCAACATCAATATACTAGCTAGCATTGTGAGAGGCTGCACTGCAGAAGAAATGTCCAGAGTTGTGGCATAAACAGGTAAGCGACTGGTTCTTCCACCACCACAACGCACCTGCCCACACTGTGCTAAGTGTTCAGGAGTTTTTGTCCCAAAACAGCATGACACCCATACCCCACCCAGCCTATTTACTCAGTCTCGCCCCAAGCAACAAATTTTTTTTTTTTTGGTTCCCAGATGAAGAAAGTCCTCTAAGGGAAATGTTTAGCCAATGTAGGAGAGGTGAAACAAAAAACAACAGAAGCACTCAAAGGTATCAAAATTGACAAGTTCAAAAACTGTTCTGCTTGAGCAGTGGAAAAAGTATTTCAATAGGTGTACTGCATGAAACAGAGAGTACATTTTTTTTTTTTTTTTTGGGTCAGTCTAACTTTGTTGCCCAAGTTGAAGTGCAGTGGCATGATCATGGCCACTGCAGCCTCGACCTGTTGCGTTCAGGTGATCCTTCCACCTCAGCCTTCCCAGTACCTGGAACCACAGGTGTGTGCCACTACACCCAGCTAATTTTTTGATTTATTGTAGAGATAAGGTCTCCAAGTTGTCCAGGCTGGTTTCAAACCGCTAGGCTCAAGCAATCCTGTCACTTCAGCCTCCCAAAGTGCTGGGATTACCACGCCCAGCCCAGAATATTTTGAAAGTGACTAAAGTTTTAACATGCAAGAATAAATAGGCAATTTTTTATCAATAAATTCTGGGATTTTTTGGGTTCTTCCTCATATACAGTATTGCATAGAATCTTATTAGACTACAAAGCCTATTGTGTTTTTTTAGTTGTTAGATCTTGCATGATGAAATAAGGATGCCAGTCAATTTAAATAATTACTACTGAATATAAAACCCCAGAAAAAGTTAAAGGATACAATAAAGAAACTAGTAATTGAATTTTGTTATACGTAGTCAATAAAATGAAAAATAAGCATCACAGAGTCAGATGATAACCTGTTAACTAGAAAAATATTTTCTCCTTGTAGAGTAAAAGTTAGATGATCAAATTAAGTGGTTTCTCCTTTTCTTCTGTATTTGTGCTTTTTTTTTTCTTAAAAAAAAGAGAAACCTCAGATTCAGGAATCTCTTTCCTTTTACCACTTTTCATCCTGGATATCAGTCACCATTTATGCAAAGGGACAGCAATATAGCTGCTTGATGCGTAACATGTTATTTCTAATCCTCATATCCCTGCATGTATGCTCACTTAGGGATGAGGAAATAAGTACAGTCAAGCCCCCTGATAATACTTAGATCAGTTGAACTAGAGGCAGTCTTTTTTTTGCTGCTGTTCCCATCACAGTTGGGATATGTTCACTGAGCACAAGACTGTACTCTGTGCATATGCCAAGTCAATACATTTTGCGATCAACCTCTTTCACAGTAGAGTGAAGGAATGCATTGGCAACTTTTTTTAAAACAATTTTTAAAATCTAAGACAATTATTGACTTTTTATTTTAAACAAATTGTTATAACATTAGCTGCTTGAACTTGTAACTTTCAAATGACCTATATAGACTCTTCACTGACATGAAGATATCTAAATATGTTATTAGCACCTGCTAACACTAACTTAAAACCAGAACTTGTGATTCTGACAACAGGCTAGTATATGGGTCTTTATTCATTTATCTTTTTTTTTGAGCCAGGGTGTCACTCCGTCATCCAGGCTAGAGTGCAGTGGCATGATCACGACAATCACAGCTCATGGCAGCCTCGATCTCCTGGACTTAGGTGATCCTTCTACCTCAGCATCCTAAGTAGCTAGAACTACAGGCGCACACCATCATGCCCGGCTAATTTTTAGATATTTTTGTAGAGACAAGGTTTCACTACGCTGCCTAGGCTGGTATCGACTTCTGGACTCAAGCAATTCTCTCACCTTGGCTTCCCAAAGTGCTGGGATCATAGGTATGAGCCACCACACCCAGCCCCTCTATCACTTCAGCAAAAAACTTCATATAAAAGTTCATACCCACAAAAACCTATGCTACCAAAAGAACTCATACCTGCACACGTTGGTAATGTCCGCACCCGAATAACCTTCCATGTTTTCTGCTATACTTGCAAGGTCAACATCATCAGCCAATTCCAGTTCACGAAGGCTTATTCGTAATAGCTCCTCCCTGCCTTTTGCTAAAGGTAGAAACACATTTAAAAATAAGTCTTCAACATAAACATAGTATGCTATTGTTTCTCAAATCTACTTAGTGTAAAGAGTTGTTTTCCAGTTCTTAGGGCCCATTTGCTTAATACTCCAAGAGCCATTCCTTACTTTTAAATCTCCTGTTATCAAGGCATATAGCCCACATAGTAATATAAGGGAAGATATTCTACATTTCTCTCTTTAAGGAAGGTTAATAAATACCAAATATCAAATTCTCTAAACAAATCCAGCTGAAAGTTAACTGGAGCGTTCTGACAAGATTTAAATGAAGATACCTGATGGTAAAGGAATATAAATTCGTTTCTCAAGGCGTCGTCTTAAAGCCTCATCTATATCCCAGGGAAAATTAGTAGCTGCCAGAACCATAACCATTTTGGAAGGGTCATCATTTTCAGAAGCACCTCCAACACCTTAAATAAGGGTAAAGAGAGAGAGTGAAAATAGACAGTAAGGCATGTTGCACCAAATAAAGCTCAGCAATTTAAAGATCATCGAATATTTACCACAACAATACATGTTGTTTAGTCTTTAAGACTTAGGTAACTGGTACATATGTGAATTAGTAATCTTAAGAAATTTAGTTTTTTAAAATGCAAAAATATGACTCAAAATAGATTTAATCAAAAAACCAGATCAGCTCAACTACATACCATTTATGCATCTATCTACCTATCTATACTGTTTATTTTATTTTATTTTATTTTAAGGGATATGAAGTCACACTATGTTGCCTAGGCTGGTCTTGAACTCCTGGGCTCAGGCAATCCTCTCACCTTGGCCTTCCAAATTGCTGGGTTTACAGGCATAAGCTACTGCACCTGGCCTACATATCCACTTACAATTTTTTCAAAACCACATATAAAACCACTAAGGCCAATTTATCTGCATTTGTATCTATTTCATGGCAAAAACAGATCACTGTATATGTTAAAGGGTGCCCTCTGGGAGGCCATTATTTCTGGCATGTCACCACTATCAGTGTACCAAATTTATTACTATCAATCCCAGGAACTACTTGCCACCCTCCTCAATTGCATCTGGCGTTACAAACATCTAATAAAAGACTTGGTTTAGCACTATGGGTAGAGCTGGACCCACTGGAGCTGGAGACACATAACAACCCCCACCCCAAGTCACTTCATGCATGTACATAAATATACCATCCATTTGAACCAGCAGCTCCGCTTTCACCCTTCTGCTTGCTTCGTGCTCTTCAGAAGTCCCTCTGCGACTACAAATGGAATCTATCTCATCAATAAATATGGTGGCTGGAGAATAAAATCGAGCCTAAAAAAAGAAACCATGCAACACCAAGGTTTTATTTCATTATAGAATAATCTACAGGTTAGCAATTAGAAGACAACTGAGGAGGCTGCCACCCTGCATCTCTCCCTCTTAACAAAATGTTGGGGAGAAGGGATAGAATTAGAACAGCTAAAATACAGCTTCTAATGCAGATTTAATATTATATGACAATTTTTGTTGCATTCAATAATATAACCATACATATTTATTTGAGTGATATAAATACAGAATAATCCTGTATACTACAATTATGTGGATAACTATGCTAGGAAAACATTTACAGATACTGGCAAGTGTTCTAAAGTTCTAGAAAAAATTTGGCTAGAGAGAACCATGACTTTGGCTGGGTGTGGTGGCTCATACCTGTAATCCCAGCACTTTGGGATGCAGAGTGAGAGGATTGCCTGAGCCCAGGGGTTGGAGACCAGCCTGGGCAACTTGGTGAGACCTCACCTCTATGGGAAATAAAAAAATTAGCCAGGTGTGGTGGCGCACACCTATAGTTCCAGCTACTTGGAAGGCTGAGGTGGAAGGATCACCTGAGCCCAGCAGGTTGAGGCTGTGGTGGCCGTGAGTATGCCACTGCAGTCAAGCCCAGACAACAGAGTGAGACTCCAACTCAAAAGAAAAAAAAAAAAAGAGAGAACCATTATCTTAAAACCACAGATTCCCACCAAGAAATTCTAATTAAATTGCCATTTTGTTATTTTATTTGACCAACAACAAATATATTTTAGTGTTCCTAAGTAGTAAATTAGAAGGGTACATTTATACATCCAAGGTTTAAAAATTGAGATAAAATTCATATAACATAAAATTCACATGTATTTATTTATTTAAAGTCAGGGTCTCACTCTGTTGCCCAAACTGGAGTGCAGTGGCATGATCATGGCTTACCACAGCCTCAACTTACTAGGCTCAGGTGACCCTTCTAGCTCAGCCTTCCCAGCAGCTGGGACTAAAAGCACATGACACCAGGCCCAGCTATTTTTGAAATTTTTTGTAGAGACAAGGTTTTGCTATGTTGCCCAGGCTGGTCTTGAACTCTTAGACTCAAGCAATCCTCTTGCCTCAGCCTCCCAAAGTGTTGGGATTACAGGTGTAATCCACACCTGGTCGTAACCATTTTAAAGTGTATAATTCTGTGTTTAGTATATTTACAATGTTGTGCGACCTTCACCACCATCTAGTTGCAGAACATATTCATCACCCCAAAAGATAACTTATACTCCTCATATCCCCCAGTTCCTGACAGCTACCAATCTATTTTATAACTTTACAGATTTGCCTGTACTCAATATTTCATATAGATAGAATCATATAGTATGTGGCCTTCTATGTGTGGCTTCTTTCATTTAGCATATTTTCAAGGTTCAGCTATGTTGTAGCATATATAGTACTTCATTCCTTTTTATAGCTGAATACTATTCTCCATGTTTATTTTTCTATCTTAAATGCATTCATTTCCATTATATGAACATTAAATCATAGGTTTCAGTCAAGTAGTTATCTAATAAATAGCTAAGACAACAGTATCACCCTTTTCACAACATAATAGGGAAGATTAATATGATACATTAAATCATAGGTTTCAGTCAAGTAGTTATCTAATAAATAGCTAAGACAACAGTATCACCTTCTCTTGAGATTAAGGAAGTAATTTAGGGCCGGGCATGGTGGCTCACGCCTGTAATCCCAACACTTTGGGGGGCAGAGGACTAAGAACTTTGAGATCAGCCTGGGCAACATGGTGAGACCTTGTCTCTACTATAAATCAAAAAATTATCTGGGTGTGGTGATACATTCTTGTACTCTCAGATACTTAGGAGTCTGAGGCAGAGGGATCGACTGAGCCCAGCAGGTTGAAGCTGTGGTAGCTGCGATCACGCTACTAGCCTAGACATTAGAGTGAGACTCCAACTAAAAAAAAAACAACAACAACAAAAAAGAGGAGAGCAATTTAGTACAGAAACTAAAGTTTATAATTAATCATATTTTAACCAAGTACTCAAACTTATAGAATCACTGCACAAGAAAGTTTAAACCAAAAATATTATGACCAAGATTTCTAGAAAACAGAATTTGGAAGAACAAACCGCATGTTAAAGATTTTTCTAAAAATAAAAGTCCATGATGGCAAATGAACATTACAGACTTAAACATGCAACTGTATTGAGTCTATCTATTCTTTGAACCATTAGGTTATAATCTATTAACTGTGAAAATGCTATGCCTCCAAAGTTTGGATTTAGTATACTCACTTGGAAAATCCAAATATTTAAACCCACTTTCTGTTCTAGTTGAAAATTTGAGTTCATCATCTAATTCCTCCAAAGGGATCTTCTCATATTTTTTGTTTGTTTGTTTGTTTTGTTTTTTTGAGTTGGAGTCTCACTCTGTCACCCAGACCGGAGTGCAGTGGTCACTCCCGGGTCACCACAGCCTAGCCTGCTGGGCTCTGGTGATCCTTCTGCCTTCCAAGTAACCGGAATTACAGGCAGGCGCTACCACGCCCGGCTGATTTTTTGATTTATTGCAGAGATGAGGTCTCGCTGCTCAGGCGGGTCTCGAATCCGCAGGCTCAGGCAATCCACTCACCTCAGCCTCCCAAAGGCGCGGGATTACAGGTTGAGTCACTGAGCCTGACTCTCATTTTTAATAAAGAGTAATTATTTGGGTTTTAGGTATTATGTATAAATATTTTTATACAGTTTCAAGAAATGGTGAGAGTGAAAGAATGAACTTATTATCATTAAAGCATCCAAGAAAAGTCTCACTTGAAATTTTAGCTAGGAACCAACCACCAGCAGAACCTACGTCAACAGAAATTGAATTTCAATCTGTCTGTTGCCACACCAAGCACAAAACAACTAGATTGATTCTTCCCAAACACTGAGGGTATGCAGAATGGTCTGACTTCAAGTAGAGGCTATGTGACACATACAAAATTGGCTTTGGCCCAGGAATGTACTGTAGAGAGATCTGTAGTGAACACCCACTGATTGTTCCTACATAACACCCTTCCTCTGATGTAAAAAAAAAAAAAAGTCTCTTTTTCATTTGAAATTGTTGGGAGCTGGCCAAGGAGGCCCACCTGAGCATTAGGGATCCAGGCAGGCTGTGGACCCTGAGACCACTAGGATGTGTTCAGGAGCTGTTGGCCCATTCCCTCCTCCCTTTTTGCCATTTAGCATGTCTCATTAGAAGGAACTTTGATGATCTAAGCATGAAGCTCTGAGAGAACGACAGGCATGGCTTACTTTAGGAGTCCATTGTTCCCATTTCTCACAGACTGCGATTTTGGTTTTAAACTTAATTCAAACTCAGGTCACATTTGGGAGCCTTTAATATGGTACAAGTTGCTTTATAAAATTTAAGGATATATTTGTAGAATTAGTATATACATATAAAGTGCTGTTTCAATCTTAATAATATAGGTAATTATTTAGAGTTACTAGAAATGGCCCAACTCAAACTTTGGGCTGGGCCACATTCCATAGGAACTGGTTTGGGCTATAATTAAGAGTTTCTGTAGTGTAATGGTTATCATATTCACCTGGCTTTATGTTTATGTAAAAGTTTTGTGATTGTTTTTCCTCATGCCCGAGGAAACACCTGGTGGGAAGGGGATGCCCCTCCCCCCCACCTACCTGGCTTTGTGTTCACGTGAAAGTCTTGTGATTTAACCTGTGAAACTTTAGGATAAAAGGCTTATGGTTTGTTCCATTAAAATGGCTTCTGCACTAGATAGAGTCCAGTCTCTTTCTCCCTGGGTCACTCTCTTTCTTTCTCTTTATTTCCCAAGAATAATCGCCGACGCCACCACACCTTCCAGGGACCCTCTAAATCTCTTTGCAGGGGCTGGCCCCCCGCACGAAATCATCTCTCTTTATTCTAATTCCACTACTTCAAAAAAAGTCAACTCTACTTGGAACTCCAGGGGTATTATTCAAGCCTAGCCAATCAGATCACTCCAATTTTCAGACTAAAACAATGGGTTCAGCCATGGGTACATGACTCAAAACTGGCCAAATATCAGTCTTCGGACTTTAGCTGGAACAATGATGAAATGAGGGCTAATTTCTCTGGAATTACCATAAGAACAATAAAAAGTTTTAAAAGCCAGGTGTGGTGGTACATGCCTGTAATCCTAGCTGCTTGTGAGGTGGAGTTGGGAGGATCTCTTGAGGCCAGGAATTTGAGGCTGCAGTAAGTTATGACTGCGCCATGATCATGTCTGTAAATAGCCACTGTTCTCCAGCCTGAGCAATATTTGTGAGAACCTATCTTAAAAAAATTCCACCACATGGGCCTGCCTAAAGTCAAAACCAACACAGAGGTAAAAAGAACCAAAGTCAGAGACAAAGATTCCTCAGGATGTCTGAATTGTTGTTTCACGCTAGGCCTAAAAATCTAAAAAGTAACTTCTAAAAATTTTCGGTTACATAACTCAATATATTATTCTTTTTGTTTAAACTCATTTGATTGAACTTCTGACACTTGAAAATAAAAGTTCTTAACAAGCCGGGCTCAGTGGTTCAGCCTGTAATCCCGCGCCTTTGGGAGGCTGAGGTGAGTGGATTGCCTGAGCCCGCGGGTTCGAGACCTGCCTGGGCAAGGAGACCTCATCTCTACAATAAATAAAAAAATCACCGGGCGTGGTAGCACATACCTGTAATTCCGGCTACTTGGAAGGCTGAGGCGGCAGGATCACCAGAGCCCAGCAGGTCGAGGCTGCGGAGCGGCCACTGCACTCCAGTCTGGGTGACAGAGTGAGACTCCAATTCAAAAAAAAAAAAAAAAAGTTCTTAACAATACAGCAAAAATTATACAATTAAGTTTTTGTATATACTTGTTACCATGTCATGGGAAAATTCCTGGATAGGTTCTCACCAAATTTAAGTGGTCTTATTTAAAATAAAGGCCTAGAGCCATGCTCAAAATTCACTTTGAGGGGTTCTAGGAGGAGGAGGGCACTTCAAGAGAGGTAATCATCTATAGAGAGTAAAAACCAAGATATGACAGGCAGTAGAATTTTACTCCTTGAGAAGGAGAGAGTCCATATTATGAATAGAAAAAAAAAAAATCAAGCTGGTTTGCAATATGAACCCTAACTTTTGGTCACAAGGGCAGAGGCTCCAAACAGCAGGCACTGGTTTGTGACTAAGCCAGTGTTCAAATGGGCTACTCAAAATAGCATACTCTAGATGAGCAGGAATTTATTTAACAGTGGTTAAGATTTTCCAAAGCAACTCCAAGAAAGTCAGTAAAAAATAATGCTCTTTGATATAGCTTCATAAACATTATTATAAAAAATGAAGCAAATTAGCACTTAGTAAGAAGTTTCCTCCAACAGAAGAAAAGGTTTAGCCTTCTTGAATAAAAAACCTTAAAATATACCACATACTTATTAAATAATAACAGCTAATATTTATTGAACACTTATGAGTCAGGTTTTGTATTAAGCAATTTACACATATTAGCTAAGTTCCCCCTCCTAACATTACAGAAATAGGTCCTATATTATTGTTCTTATAGACAAACAACTGTGGCTGGGCATGATAGTTCACATCTGTAATCCCAGCACTTTGGGAGGCTGAAGAGAAAGGACGGCCTGAGCTCAGGAGTTCAAGACCAACACAGGAGACCTGATCTCTACAATAAACAAGAAGGCTGAGGCGGAAGGATCGCGTGAGCCCAACAGGTCTAGACTGCAGTAGTGTGATCGAGCTGCTGCATTTCAGCCTGGGCAACAGTGTGATATTACAACACACAAACGCGCGCGCGCGCGCGTGCGCGTGCACACACACACACACACACACACACACACACACACACAATTCACGTCTTTGTCACTATTCATATTTTAATACATATAACTTCCCTATTTCTTAGAGGCAAGACCGAAGTAATCAGTGAAGCTTAACGAAGTGTGAAGTTTAAAAGGCTGTTGAATTCAATCTAAACACTACCAGAACTTACTGCATTACATTTCTTCTATTAGTCCTTGGATTTGTTCAGGTGGAAGAAAATAAAACTCAAAGAAGCAGAGAACTTAATGCAAAGATTTAGGTAATTAAACTGAAGGTATATGATATAGACAATAGATTGGCAGCTAGGCTTGGTGGCTCATGCCTGTAATCCCAGCACTTTGGGAGGCCAAGGCAAGAGGACTGTTTGAGCTCAAGAGTTTGAGACCAACCTGGGCAACACAGCGAGACCTCATCTCTACAAAAAAATAAAAAATAAAAAATTATCCAGTCGTGATGGCATGGTCCTATAGTCCCAGCTACTTGGAAGGCTGAAGCAAAAGGATCACCTGAGTCCAGGAAGTCAAGACTACAGTGAGCCATGACTGTATCACTGCACTCCAGGCCTGGGCAACAGAGTGACACACCAATTCAAAAACAAAAAGATTGGACATGACCTAAATTTCACAAATACTTATGATTCTCACTTTTCGGCATTAGTATTACAATACTGCATTTTTCACATTATAACTAAGTCTACTGATTTAAAAAACGTAATTTCAGATTCCTATAGCAGATTAGTAATGCAGATCCCATAACATAAGCACATCCATAAACTAGCAGATACGGATCTACATCTGGAGGAAAGGAGAAACAGAAACACAAGTTATTCACGTCTGTGAGGATGCAAGTTTCAAGGACACAGGACTCATACTCCAGGAAAAATGTCATCCTACCTAGTTATTCCATATATTGGAGATAATTACAAATCACTTTCTCTCCTTTTGGAGAGAAGAAAAGAATCATAAGAGCTGTCTCAAACATTCACCATTTCAAACAGAAGACGAACAAGCTTCTCAGACTCTCCTCTGTATTTGGAAGTCAGAGTTGATGAAGAGACATTGAAGAATGTTGTCTTGCATTCTGTAGCGACTGCTTTGGCAAGCAGGGTTTTTCCTGTGCCAGGTGGGCCAACCATCAATACTCCCTGTTGAGAATATAAGAGCATAAGCAAAGGATTTATCTGCCATTGTTCTAATTCACAAGAATTTCAACCAACTTATACATTAAGACAATGAAATACAAACAGAAAGATAACCAAGAGAATACTCAAAGATTATTTTCCCATTATGAAAGGAGGATAACCACATTATTAAAAATTTAGAATGCAAAGAAAAAAAAAGTAGTTTATAACATCAATGCCCTAACATAGTCACCATTAGCATCTCCATGTATTTCCTGCCAGTCCTCTTGCTCAAATTAGGTCTGTTTTTATTTTTACATAATTTACCCAAGGTATGTCTACAATTTTGTACCTTCCTTAACACTTAACATTTAAGGAATTTTTAAAACTATTACTAAGTACAGAGTTACTCACTAGCATTTTCTAAATCCAAGAAACTTTTTTGACAGTTTTTTTTTTTTTTGAGATCATCCCATGACTTTAAAAAACACCCATCAGATGCAAGTATTATTTATTTATTTATGAAAGGTAGATTTATTAAAGGGAAAAAACATTGTAAAGGGCATGACAGGCTGGACAGCAACGAGAGAGTCTGCTATCTGCCCCTCATTAAATTTCTTAAGAATGATCCCAAAAATACATGTTACCAGTTATGCAACATGACACATAAAATGGAATATTTTTGCATTAGCTCACTAGGTCATATTTGCAAAAACAAGATCATTTCAAATGAGGTGAATTTTAAATTCTAAATGCTGTGTCTTCAACTTTCTAAAGACCACATTGTACCTATTTCTTTTTCTTTTCTTTTTTTTTTTTGAGTTGGAGTCTCACTTGGTCGCCCAGACTGGAGTGCAATGGCCGCTCCCAGCCACTGCAGCCTCGCCTGCTGGGCTCCAGTGATCCTTCCGCCTCAGCCTTCCAAGTAGCCGGAATTATAGGCATGCGCTACCACGCCCGGCTGATTTTTTGATTTATTGTACAGATGAGGTCTCGCTGCCCAGGCGGGTCTCGAACCCGCGGGCTCAGGCAATCCACTCACCTCAGCCTCCCAAAGGCGCGGGATTACAGGCTGAGCCACCGAGCCCGGCTTACCTATTTCTGATTTCTAAAAACTCTGCAATAGCTTTTGGTGTAACAAAATTCTCAACAGTACAATATATACTTTTTAATTTAAAATTTTTCTCACTCAACTTTCCCCAGTATAGATGAACATTGGCTCTCTATAGCATGCACTGCCATTTACTTTGACAATGTTATCAGTAATAAACTTACTTTCCATGGTCTCCTAATGCCCTTAAAGAATTCAGGCATCCACATTGGTAACACCACAGCTTCCTTAAGCAACTTTTTGGCTTCTACTAAATCAGCGATGTCATCCCTGAAAGACATTTTATCAACAATCCCTTAAATTACATGTTTAACTCTTTGTAGTCACTCTTGAGAACCACTGGATTTTACACTGGTGACAGAATGCTAAGTCTCTCTCTGGACACCAGTGAACTAACACATTGCAGTGAGGCCTACCATATCAGCCAGAATATAAAGAGTGCAGTCATGTTTTCAATTCTTGGCAGTAATGATTTTCAGTGTGGCTCATGAGAACATAGGTCCATAGGCCCACTCTTAAGTGTTATCATTACCATCTCATTTATGATGGTAATTTCATAACCTTCATGATGTAGAGGCAATGAACCCTTTTAAAAAAGCATAAAGAATACAAAGGATATAAAGCAGAGATAGCTTCCAATACTGCTGCTTTGCCTTCAACTCTATTAAGAAGCAGAGATCCCACATCTTTGGGAGGCTGAGCTGAGTGGATTGCCTGAGCCTGTGGGTTCGAGACCTGACTGGGCAACTTGGCGATACCTCATCTCTACAATAAATAAAAAATTAGCCGGGTGTGGTAGTGCGCGCCTGTAGTTCCAGCTACTTGGAAGGCTGAGGCAGAAAGGATCACCGGAGCCCAGCAGGTTGAGGCTGCGGTGGCCGGGAGCGGCCACTGCACTCCAGTCTGGGCGATAGAGTGAGACTCCAACTCAAAAAAAAAAAAGAAGCAGAGATTCAAAAAGAAAGAGTATCTTTCATGCTATGAAGTCTGCCCAAACACTAGAACACCTACTACTGCTGCTGCTGCTACCTCTTGCTGCTGTATATGGCAATTTTTGTTAAGAAAATTTATTTTCATTGTATAAATATCAAGTACTATCATCCAAATCCATACCTAACAATCATTAATGTTTTAACAGAAAATATATAAATAGTCTGGGTGTGGTGGCTCACGACTGTAATCACAGCACTTTGGGAAGCCAAGGTAAGAGGACTGGCTTGAGGTCAGAAGTTGAAGACCAGCCTGAGCAACACAGTGAGACCCTATCTCTACAAAAATGAAAAGAAAAGTAAATTTAACCAGGTATGGTGGCACATGCCCATATATAGTCCCAGCTACTCGGAAGACTGAGGTAGGAGAATGGCTTAAGTTCAGGAGGTGGAGGCTGCAGTGAGCTGTGATCATGCCACTGTGCTCCAGCCTGGGTGACAGAGCGAAACCCTGTCTCTCTCTGTCTCCCTCTCTCTCTCTCTCTCTCTCTCTCACACACACACACACACACACACACACACACACACACATAAAGAAAACATATAAATATATAATAGAATATACTTAACTTTGTGGGAAAGTGAGCTTTTATAATTCATTGCGATGCTACAGATCTTTGATTAGATGTAATATTAATAAAGTTGAGAATTACCATGCTAATAGAAAATAAAAGCAACATTTATAGGATGCTACAGATATTACAGGGAGAACTTCTCAAAAACCAGAATTATCTTTTGAAAGGTGGGCCCCTTGTGGTACAGGCTTCCCTCTCTAGGTAAGTGTTCTAGGAAGCTATCACCATCAGTATACCAACTAGCATTGCTATGAGAGGCTACATTGCAGGAGAAACATCTAGAGTGTGGCAAACAGCTGACTGATTCTTCCACTATGACAATGAACCTACCCACACCACGCTGAGTGTTCAGCAGTTTTTGACTAAAAATGGTATGATCCCCATGCCCCACCCTTCCTATTCATCCAGTCTCACCCCAAGTGACTTTTCTTTTGTCTCCCCAGATGAAAAAAGTCCTCAAAGGGAAACATTTTGCTGATGTGGAAAAGGTGAAACAAAAAACGGTAGAAAGCATCAAAACTGATGAGTTCAAAAACCGTTTTGAGCAGAGGAAAAAGAAGCTCTATAGGTATATTGCATCAAATAGAGAGTACTTTGAAAGTGAGTTTAAACATGTAAGAATAAATACACAATTTTTAATAAATAAATCCTGGGTTTTTTGAGGATCCTCCTTTGTAGGCAATAAATATCACTGCCTATGAAGCTGATTTCAGCATTAGAGGATGCCCCAAAAGAAGATAAAATTTGTGTGACCTTATTCCCATTGTTTTTGCAATTTATTTTTTTAATTTTTAAAAATTATTTTAATTTTTGTACATACATGGGTTTTTAAATAATAACATTTTAAAAATCTCAAGCTAGATGTGATGGCTCATGCCTGTAATCTCAGCACTTTGGGAGGTGAAGGCAGATGATTGCCTCAGTTCAGGGGTTCAAGACCAGTCTGAGCAACTTGGAGAGATTTCATCTCTATAATAAATCAAAAAATTAGCTGGACGTGGTGCGCACACCTGTGGTTCCAGCTACTTGGAAGGCTGAGATGGAATGATCACCTGAGTCCAGCAGATAGAGGCTGCGGTGGCTGTGGGTACGCCACTGCACTCCAGTCTGGGTGACAGAGTGAGATTGACTCAAAAAAAAAAAAAAATCTCAGACAAAAAAATGGTACCGCCAGAACAAAGTGAAGCTTTTATATGTCATGCTCCTGTTGTATATGCTCTGGTTCTGTTCCCAATGATTAATCTTCAGCGCATGCTCACATATGCTTCATTTTCTGTTCCAAAAATCACTATCAGTACAGTTATTTTGTTGTGATATGACTTACCATCGAACATTGGGATTCTGGGAAATTATATCTCTTTCCAAAGCTTCTACTAAGTCCTTGTCATAGCCAGTACTATCAAATTTACTTGTCTCTGGTTCTGTAACTGCAGCAGGTGATTTGTTCTATATCAGGGAGAAAAACAAGAGTTTTTGATTGATTCAAAAATTATATTTTGTTTCTGTGAATCAGAAACAAATATTGGAATAAGTAACATTCCTTTAAAGCTAATATAAGTCAAGGATAGAATCAAAGACTAGGCCATCCTTCTATATCAACATCAGTTTCACACTAGCTTTTATTTTTACATAAAAAGTCTGACAAAATATTAAAGACAAATAACAAAAGAAAAATAACAAAATTACCATACATAAACTGGCTGGCATCAAAAATTAATACTGTGATTAACTGTAGTCACAAGTGAATTATTAGATGTGTACAAATTTATCTCAATGCTTTATAAGAGATGAGATTAATTAAGAACAGATGGTTTATTTTGCCAAGACTATGGCTCAGTCTTTAACTGTTTACTGGGTCCTCAACAATGCCTCTAAAAAGATTCCTTTTCATTATTCCCACTAACTACCTGCTTCTCATTCCTGTGATGACAGGCATTAGGGCCACAGTTCCCATACTGTGTATTGAAGTACCCAGAGCACAATGGCAAACTCACAGGGCACTGCAGAATAGTTCACATTTTTGAGAGAAACACAGCAATATCTGTTGAACACTGTATGAACTACCATCTTGAGGTAGTTAATTCCTACATGAGACTGCCATACTCCTTTACAGTAATGTCATATTTTTGAGAAACTGGATTTTTGGCCGTTGCTGTGAAAAAAGATACAGTGAGAAAATCAATGTGGAAGAGGAATGAGGGTGGAAAGGCCACACTGAGTGCAAGGTCTGAGAAACTGTAGAGCCTAATCCATGTTAAGCTGTTAGGATATAAGTTGTCTGAACCTAACTTTTTCATAAACAGACAGGTAATCTTTTTGGCTTAGAAGTGCTATATAAAAATTACTGAGATACTCATATATTTTATAAGCCAAGACAACTTATGAAGATCTGCATTAGGGTAAATAATCATTTACGCTGCTTTGTACTAGGATCATTACTCAATCTCCATAACATTTCTTTGCACATAACAAAAAAAGTCAGCTAGTGCTAGTGCCATTAGTAATGTCTATACTTAACCAATAATCATAAAATTCAAAGTCTTACACCAGATGGCCAAATAAACATCTATCTCATAATGTGCATATCCAGCCTCCAACAGATACAGTTTGGATTGTTGTCCCCTCCAAATCTCATTTTGAAATATAATCCCCAGTGTTGGAGGTGGGGCCTAGTGGAGGTGACTGGGTTATGGGGTGGATCCCTGATGTATGGTTTGGTGATGTTCTCACAGTAATGAGTGAGTACTTGCTCTATTAATTTAAGCAAGAACTGGTTGTTTAAAAGAGCCTGGCACCACTTCCTCCTCCTCTCTTACTTTTGCTCTTGCCATGTGACTTGTCTACTCCCCTGCTGGTTCCCTTTGCTTTCTGTCTCAAGTAAAAGCTTCCTAAGGCCTCACCAGAAGCCAAGCAGATGCCAGGACCACAGAACTGTGAGCCAAATAAACCTTTTTTCTTTATAAATTACCTAGCTTCAGGTATTTATAGCAATGCAAGACAGACTGATACAAAATACTAACTTAAAAGACTCAAGAAAGGTACTGTGTAAGATATAAAAGAGATCTGCTAAGTACTCATAAAGTTGTTATTTATTTACAGATATCTTAAATATCTATTCTGTGTTAGCAACAATGGGAAACAGAAAGAAGACACTGTTCCTTACTATCAGAAACATATGATGTAAGCCGAGAAAGATACAAATAGAAGACATTTTCTTTTCTCCCTTAGGATACAGTACTGAAAAAATGTTTGCAAACAAAGTAAAACAATTTTAAGTTAGGGAGAAAGGAGAAACAGTGCTATGAGAGGTCAGCCAGAGGGAGCTATGGAATTTCCAATGTTGGCATATTTAATGGAATTTTATTTTTATCAGTTGAACTAGTACAATTTCTTTCATGTATACATGTATTCAATAATTTGCTCTAAGTGAAAATATGAGCTAGTAGGAGGTGGAAAATAAGTAAAGTTGCAGATGGACCAATTAACCAGAACATAAGTCCCTGGGTTTAAAATTAGTTATTTAAAGTTGGCAAAATTATAAACACAAAATCTATTACCTCAATTAAAAGGGTTAATTAAAAATAACACCTGGGCACTCATTTCCAGGAAGATAGAGCAGACATACTTTTCAGTATTCCTTCCACTAAGCAGAAGCTGTGCTCTCTAGCCAAGAAAGGGACAACCTTGCAAGAGAGAACTTGTTAGACAATAACACTCTACTCCAGTCAAGCAACAAAAGAGCTGTGGCCCCAGCCCAACCCAGCAAAAGTTGTTAATATTGTCTGATGTCATTCTAAATGAATGGAGAGAAAATGTTTAAGATAATTATTAATTGGAAGGTTAAAAGGATACAGAGATAAGATTTCTATACTTCACTTCAACTCATAAAACGCTACCAACAGTAAATCTGAAGTTCCATATATATCTGTGTGTGACTATATATACATATATATATATATATATATTGCTCTAGGTTATATATATATGTATATATATGAAATTTCCAATGTTGGCACATTTAATGGAGTTTCATTGGTGCAATTTCTTTCATGTATACATTTATTCACTAATTTGCTCTATGTGAAAATATGAGCTAATAGGTGAAAAATAAGTTACATATATACACACATATATATAAACTAGAGCAACAACCACTAGATAAGCTATACAAAGAGATATATTAAAAAACACTACAGAGAAGTAAAAATGAAATTCTAAATAATGTTCCTGTAATCTATAAGAAGGCCAGAAACAGAATACCAAGAAAAACCAAAAAATACAGAACAACCAGAAAACAAAAAAATAACATAACCGACTTAAGCCCTAACATAAAATCTCATTAATGTAATTGGTCTAAACACACCAATAAAAGATTAGAGACTGGTTAAATGGATTTAAAAACATGAACTAACTACCTGTTAGGTCATCAGGAAGTTTACTCTAATATATTATATAGGAAGGCTGGAAACAGAAAAAAGGAAAAAGATATATGCTTTCCTTTGATTAATATTTCCACTGGGCATGGTGGCTCATGCCTGTAATACCAACACTTTGGGAGGGGGAGGCAAGAGGATTGCCTGAACCGAGGGGTTTGAGACCAGCCTGGACAATATGGTGAGACTTTGTCTCTACAATAAATAAAAAAATTAGCTGGGTGTGGTGGCACATGCCTGTGGTTCAGCTACTTGGAGGCTGAGGTGAAAGGATCACCTGAGCCCAGCAGGTCGAGGCTGCAAGCATGCCACTGCACTCCAGCCTGGGCAACAGAGTGCAGGCTCTGACTCAAAAAAAAAAAAAAAAAAGGAACCAAACAGAGCTGCAAAGTATGTGAATAAAATCTGATATAATGAAAGAGATAGAAATAGAGACTTCAACACCCCTCTCTCAACAATTGATAAAATACTAGGAAAACAATCAGCAAGGATATACAGCTCAACATCACCACTGTCTAACAGAATGCAATCAACATGGTATAGAAAACTCCATCCAACAACAGCAAAATACACGTTCTTTTCAAGTGTTCAAAGAATATATACAAAGATAGACCAAATCTTAGGCCAAAAATAAACTTAAGACAAGTTTAGAAAATTGAAATATTAGAAAGTATATTCTCCAACATAAAGATTCAAACTAAAAATCAAAAACAGAAAGATAACAAAAAAATCTCCACACAATTGGAAACTAAATAGCACAATTCTAAATAATCTAGGTCAAAGAGGAAGTCTAAATGACAATCAAAAAACATATTAGCCAGGCACAGTGGCTCACACCTATAATTCCAGCACTTTGGGAGGTGGGGACAAGAGGATACCTGAGCTCAGGGATTAGAGACCAGCTTGGGTAACATAGTGAGACCTCGTCTCTACAATAAATCAAAAAATCAGCTAGGCATGGTGGCACAGATCTGTGGTTCCAACTACCTGGAAGGTTGAGGCAGAAGGATTGCCTGAGCACAGCAAGTTGAGGCTGTAGTGGCTGTAAGCGTGACACTGCACTGCAGCCTGGGTGACAGTGAGACTCCAACTCAAAAAAACAAACAAACACATTAAACTGAATGAAAATGAAGATACTACATACCAAAATTTCTGGGACATGGTAAAAGCAGTGCTGAGAGGAAATTTATAGCATGAAATGCATATATCAGAATAGAGAAAAAACATCTTAAATAATAATCTAAGCTCCCACCTCACAAATATAGAAGACTTTTGAAAAATAAAAAATGTTCTGTGGATAGAGAGCAGTGATGATTCCACAGTAATGTGAATGTACTTAGTATCACTGAACTGTACAGTTAAAATATTTTAAATGGTGACTTTTATGTTATATATATTTTACATTAAAAAAATAATTTTTAAAAAGCCAATTGCATTTCCCTATATTAGCAATGAACACATGGACACTGAAATTAAATAAAATACAACACCACTTATAGTCACTAAAAAAATTAAATTCTTAGGTGTAAAATCTAATAGGACATATACAAGACTTACATGTTGAAAATTATGAAACACTCATCAAATAAATCAACAATTCAAACAATGGAGATTCATACACTGTGTATGAGTTAGAAGAATCAACATAAAAAACACGAATTTTCTTCAAATTGATATACAGGTTTAACATAATTCCTATTAAGATCTCAGCAAGATTCTCTATAGATGCAGACAAATGATTCTAAAATTTATGTAGAAAAATAAGGGAAATAAAATTGTGGAAACAATTTTGAAAAGGAAGAATAAAATGGGACAAATCATCTACCCAATTTCAAGACCTACAGTATTGGTTGAAAAGTAGATACCTACCAGTGAAATGTAATAGAGAACTCAAAAACAGACTCATGAAAATATGCCTAATTGATTTTTGACAAAGGAGTAAATGCAGTTCATTAGAAAAACATAGGTTTTTCTTTTTTGTGTGTGTATTTATTTATTTTCGCTTTTTTGGAT